GGTCTGCCGTAAAACAATGGGATTACTACGGGTAGATCGATGTTAAAGATAAAGACGATGAGGGGTGGGCAGGAAGAGGGTTTGGTAAAACGAACAAAAGATCTCTACATTTTATATCTACCCTGTAGTTTAATCGGTGACAAAAAATTCCTACCTTAATCCTTAATTACATTTTTATTTCTATTAAAATTTAGGAAAAAGTTCGAATTCGCGGGACGGATGGGGGGTCTCTACGAAGAAAAATTCTCATCGATCCTCTAACCAATTTCGGCGCGTGTAAAACGTTGCTAAATAAAATGGCGTGTAGAAGCAAACTAGGTTAAAAGATAGCGTCAAATCGGATTAAGGTGGCGTCTTTCCTTAGTGGTAACGAAGACGTCTAACAATAAGAATGAGAAATAACTTGGTAGACGTATCATATATATTTGAATTACCTTGAACCAGGAATAGGCCTGCGGTCAAAACAAAGTACTTGAAGCATGGGAGAATGACAGCAAGGAAATAACGAAAAGTCTTGATAATAATTTAGTTTTCGTTCAGTTTAATAATAATGGTAAAAGGAAATAAACATAATGAGAGAGAGAGAGTCTTTAAATTGGTTCGCGTCATTTTTCTGCATGCGTGACAAACTATCGTTTCGGTCTGACCTATCGCAAAGTCTATCGCCTAGCTCGAGTCACTCTGTTGCCGTTTTATCGATCGGTCTTAATTCGTCTCCGAACAAATACGACTAAACTGGACTCTCGTCCGTGTGACCAGTACCAAGATAACGCGCGTTATTTCAATATCAAATAGGTACGGTTAGATATTGGGATCGATAGGAGAGATATAATAAAATGAAGAATCCGATGAGCGAATAGAACGTTCAAACGACAATTCTTCGGTTCCGAACAAGTTGAATAAATTCTTAACGACGCGGCAAAAATATATTTCAATTGGATCAAACGGTTGGTTTTAATAATCTAACACGCGTAAAGGATTAATGCGTCTACAGGTGTCATATTTAAGATAGGTCGTAGGATACGAGCACTTAAATATCGTGTCTTCTGCTTTATGGGACGTATAGGCCACTCAAAAAGAGGCAAACTTCCATTTTTTCAGATAAAGGTGGGAATTTTTGATATAATGCAGTTGCAGTTGCAGTTGTTTTTTACCCTTTTTCTCAAAACCTCGGGATCCGATTGGGAAAAATTGCACTTTTATCTGAAAAAAATGGAAGTTTGCCTCTTTTTGGCTGGCCTAGTATAAAAGTTGATAGGGACGTTGGATGAATATGAATAAGAGTATATGTTCAATTCGCGTGAGTAACGCTTGTATTTTCTTTTTACTTCCGACAACGACGACTTATGTTAGTCACCCTCGCCTCCGGACTACTTTTCTCGATTGAGTCTTACAGTTCGAGCAATGCACTGCAATGTCGTTTAATTACAAACGGAAGCCCCTTTAAGCCCTTTTACTTTAGTTTCATTCGACGCCAAAGAAAAAAAAGAAAAAAAAAAGAAAAAGGTAGGAACAAACCACTGAGAATTCTTGTTCGCTATGGCATTACGGTTAGTTGATAAACCTTTGTTTCTTTGACCGATAATTAAAAAGACAAAGAGCATTTATTAATCGACCTTTCGGGATTGAAATAAAATGTCCCTCTCTCTCTCTCTCTCTTTGCAATGACTCGAAAATAATGAAAAAAGTATCCCAGAGATTGCGATTAGGTAGTATTCCCTGGATTATGATAAGCATCTTAATTAAGCATACAGCTCGAATTAAGCTGAACCTTGAGAAGAAAAGCCAATAATTCTAGCCCAGTAAGTTTCCAATATCATCGGTAGAGGTAAAAAAAGAAAAGGTTCTCTATCGATCACGCGAAGAAATGTTGTCATCGAGCAAACTGATAAGCCCGTGTATATCCAAGTTATATACATGGGAAGGTTGGGACGAGGCTAATCTGCGTTTGAGGGTTGCGTGCGGCGCCGTAAGTGAATGGCGCCAGGACGTCTAAGCGCCGACAAGACGAGTCTTTCCCAAGTATGCGTCATACCTTGCTTCTCCCATCGTCCATTGCACACACACACACCAACAAAAGGATATAGGAAGGAAGGTCGTTGAATGTTCCAATAGAAGCACGAATTTCCACTTTCTCGAAGCGAACCGAACCGAACGATAATATCGAGTACGATCGATGTAATTGAGCGAGAACGGATAAGAATACAACGCACGCCTATTCGACGAGAAGTTGGAAAACTATGACTCATAGTTTTTATACTATGACTACTCTATTGGACCATACAAATCGATGCTGCGTCGAGTGAAAATCTTGACCTTCTGGCTCCCACCCACACCGCCCCCGCGCACCCTTCCCTTTTCGACTACCCTTCCGCCTCATTCGCAGACGCCATAAAACTTAACGGGCTCTTTCGAAATTGCCAGGGCCTTTTTTCGCCATAACGAGACGACACGGCACTTGCTTCTTCGCACCCCATTCTCTCTCTCTCTCTCTCTCTCTCTCTCTCTCTCTCTCATGATATCCTCTGCAAAAGACATTTAAGCTCGTAACTCCGATGTTATGGGTCCTTGTGTGTTAGGGTGTGCACGAGTGGAAGGGAGAAAGAGAGTTTAGATAGAATAAGCACGGAATCTTCTTGATCTCGAACATAATCGTTCCAAGGTAAAGTTTCCCCGTGCAGACCGAATTTAACGCAAATCACTTTATCCTGCGTCAAATATTGAAATCGTTAAAACGTTAATAAAAAAAGGAGAAAAAAAAGAGAAGCAAGAGTTAAGGGCTAAGAGTGATTAACTACTCGGTGTACTAACCATAAATGGGAATAGAAAAGGTGGCATATGTGAACCGTAGCCTCGATTACGACCACGGCCGATCAATTAAACGAAACCGCACAACCTGTTACGCAACTTTAATTGCGGTACTACCCCTATGAACAAAGGTAGCAATAAAAAAAGAACTTGATAGAGCTATACGTATGAAAGAATATAAGCGAGGGTAGAAGACTTATGTAAGAATACCGAAGGAAGGCTACTCATTGGCAGTCGTTCGGTGTACGGCCCCCACCCCGAGTTTCCCCCCCACAAAGTTCAACTAGACTTCGTGGGAGGAATCGATTTGGTGACTCATCGAGGGCGGTGACAAAACTCTCTCTCTCTCTCTCTCTCTCTCTCTTTCTCCCCCGCTCGCTTTAAAACTTTCCTTTCCCGACAAATAACGAGATGCACTTGAACTGCAACTGCAACTGCAGTTAGTCAATTTGCTTGGGCAAAGTGCCGTCTCGACTGCCCTTGTTTTATTCCCTTTTTTTTACCGCCCCCCGACAGTGCGAGAACTCTTTCCGTCAAATTCGAGCGATAATTATTACGAAGGGGAGGGAAAAAAGTTGGTGGAACGAATGCGTGACACTAACCCTAACGAGTTTGTCGCTGTTCCTTTTTACAATGAACCCATGCTCGAAATAAAGCGAGTTTATTTACGAGTGGATCGTTGAATTTTTAACGAGACGAGAGTTCCGAACGCTTCGTCACCGTTGATTCCCTTGATTACTAGACTTTTGTGCTACAAATACCGACGCGATTTTATCCATATTTAGTTGTCACATTTAAATTTACATACATATTTTTATCCAAAATATATGTTATATATCATTTAAACAATGAAAAATACGTAACACTTGCATGTACACTTTTTTTTGTTAGATCGAAAGGTTTGCGAATGCATTTACGATTCGATTACTTTCAAGGATTGTATCCGGTTTGTGATTAAATTAAAATGATTACGAAGTGGATCATTACTTGCATTCATTTCCAATGTATTTACATTCGGCGTTAAACGTTTTGAAGCGAAACTTTGCTGGAACTTATAGTTAATTTCCATCTAGTTTAGCTTTGAAATAAATTGTTCGTGTCGATTGTATCGACAGTTTCTGGTTCATAACACGTCCCTGACTATTTCCAATAAATTTTTTTTCTCCCCCCGGCTCCGGAAATCAATGCAAATTTAATCTCGTTCGAAACTATTACTGCGTTCCTTTCAACTTTTCCCCATCGATGCAAATAAATTAATGAATTTCTGTCAAATTTCGTTACGCTTCGTCACTCTTTTACAAACATAACGCTGAAATTTCTTTCTCTAGAGTTTACGTAACGTATTGATCAAATGAAATAGCGGAAAAATGAATGATCCAGGGTCTTCTTTTTGACTTCTGCGATTGAACACGCAAGGGTACTCGAATGATAAGAAAAAAAAGAATAAAGAAGTATGCCATCACACATAGGTATACGTCGTTTTAATTCGATCGACTAATTAACTCTTCAGAACGATTCTCCATTGTTCGTTCGTTCCCACCTGTCACGAGCCACCTCCCACCTCTCTCTTTCTCTCTCTCTCTCTCTCTCTCATTCTCTCTAGCTCTATCTCTTTTCATCTTTAAACAAACAAAGTACAAAAGATACCTAAGTGGTGGAAAAATCGATTTAACGCTTTAATCGACCCAACGTTTCAAGTATAATCATTCGAAAAAATACTCCTGCGGGTGTAAATGAAAAATTTTCCAAGGAGTCCAATTAATGATATCATTGATTTCAGGAAAGAGATAGACAGAGAGATCAAAAGTATTCTATTTACCAATAAGTAAACAATTAATTGGCAAATATATATAGCGGTGGGAATAATAGAGAAACGATTGTTAGTGTTTTGTACGTGTATATGGAAGATCGAAGGGATACTTTTGACAATATGACGATCGTCGGAGGAACATGGATACTTTCTGTCAATGGCTCTACAACATCGTTCTCGCGACTGCCATTTGTCTCAGGATGATCAGTGAGTAGCTGCGAGAACAACGAAAACGAGAATACACTCTATTTGTCGTATATTGTCTATCTATCTCTTTCTTCTTTATATACATGTAACATTGTATTAATGTAATCCTTTGGTAACGAAACGATTGTCTTAAACTTCTAATTGACAAAGGAAAATGGTTTGTTGTTTTGTTTAGAAAATGGATTGCTTTCCTTCGAGAATCCAAATTATCATTTGGATCCGGCACGTCTCGATGATGCATTGAACAGCAACGGAAATGGCAGCTCCCTCTATGATGAATTATATCAAGAATTAGTTGGGAATGGCGGCAGGGGTGGAGAGGTCACCGGTGGCGGCGGCGGCGGAGGGGTTGGTACGAGGGTTCAAGCACGCAGAACTTATGCGAGCTTGGATCTGGGCAGCATGGGGGTTGACGTCACGCAGGGTCCCCTCACCTTGGATTCCGTGACCGAAGACGCAGCTGACAATACCGATAACCATAACCTAGGGTGAGTGACTTTTGTTACATTTTTTTTATCGATGATTACGAGATCAAGATTACTTGCTCGAAGGTCACTGGGACAGGGTGGGCTAACTCGGTTATTTTTATTACACAGCTATTCTCTAATTTATCATACAAATTTTCTAGATATTTTCCATTGGGAAAAACGTAAGGAAAAAGAAAAAAAAAAGATCCAAACGCGATCCCAATAAAATCCAATTCCTCGAAGCTCCGGCATAATACCACATCCGAATTCATCCGAATTCATCCGATCGCTTGATCGTCACACATGTTCATATTTTTGAAACATGAGCCGGACTCGGTCCATCGAAAGGGAATCCCTTTATCCCGTTGAAACAGAGATATCAGACATAGCAATCTAAGATTCGAAAGGAAGAGTAGAATAACCGAGAAAGAGATCGGTTTCTCCAAAGGGAAATGGATGCTCCCAATGTAATATAAGGTCCAGTCAGTTAGACCTAACCGATAAAATTCCCAAGTTGGACTTCATCGAGTTCCCGCATAAAATTTCAATAAATCCGAGCGCGAGAAGAAAGAAAAAAGAAGAGAGAATAAGCGCTAGGGATGAAAAAACGGCGAAAGGGGATTCCTGCCAAGGAGAAGGAGTTATTTATCAAATAATAATAATAATAAAAATAAAGAAAAGTAATAAGAAAAATAAAAGCAAATTCTCCCCGAGTGTGTAGCATTTTCTTATTCGGCTCGTGTATTATCTTTCTGATATTTTTGACTACGCGTTCGCAACTTTGGTGTAGGAATATATTCGGAACGATTGGAAGCATTTCCACGGTTGAAAGAAAAATATCAAATGGAGTTTCTCGAGCACCCTCCGTGATGCGATTTATTTCATCCCCCCCCCCCGTTAAAGATCAGAACTTACATCCCTTTACTCCTTTTTCTCTTCCGTAGGTACTTGTCAAACGAACGAATATGAGATTTTACTCGGGAACGCGACCGAAAATCTTTTCATAGGATCCTTTTTCTTCGAAACTGGAGTATAAAAAATAAAATGGAAGGGATAATCTTGGGAGTAAAGCTAATAGCGTTAATCAATTACAACATTTTTTACTAGACAATTCTACGAGTAGTTTAGGTATATAAAAATGTTGATTTTCATGAAAGTTAATTCAGTATTAGATGACAAGCGAGTGAGGGATACTAAGAGGGATGGTAAAAGGGATGAAAAGGCCCAAGGGTAAGAGCAACGCCAAAGGAGATTGAACTCAATCTAAAGTTGCGACAAACTTTGCTAGTTTCTCTCTCGTACTCGTGTCGATCTCTATTCGACAACTGCGATCTTCTACCAGGTTTTCTCCTTCGAGCTGTGTTCCACTCGAAAAGGGTCAAATCGATTAGTTATACCGAGTAAATCTTATTTAGGAACTATTTCTCCGGGAAATAAACATTGGAATAAAGATACTCGGAGGTTTTAGCGTATCTCTCTGCTTGTTAACTTATTTATTTATAATATCTTATTCTATATTAGTTGTGTAGAGAGAATTGGTTTTGCATTCGATCGGATAAATTTGCATCGAGAAATAAATTCGGATATAACGGAAAGAACGGTAGAAATGTATACAACACCACCTATTCCATTTGGAAACTCTGTTGGCAGAAAAAAAGGAAATGAAAAGAAAAAGATAAGCTATAGATAAAAAGAAGATTGCGAACGGAGAAAGAAAGTCGCACATATCGCGAGGATAGGTATCTTAACGATCGTGTCTGAGGTAGGATATATCGAGCGTGAAATAAGGTGCCTTTTCTTCGAAAAAGAAAAGCTATTTTTTTGTTCCCCTCCCTCGTACTTCATCTCCTTCGTCCCACCTTCTTTTTTCCTATCGAATCGAATCCCCATCTAATTTTTCACAAATACCATAATATCATAAAAATCATTCGAGTAAAAAAGGGAACAAGAAGAGGAACAAATTTCTAGATTTATCGATCAATTTATACCGCATGAAAATGTTCTATCAGAGATCCATGGGATCTAGTTAAACGTTAGAATCATTCTGTAGATTATAGAGATCATAAATTGACTTTACTAAGTGATAAAAGTCAATGTAAATTCCTACATTAAGGCTCGATCAGGAAGCAGTATTTTTGCTTGTTTTTCATCTAGCTAGGATCTAGATTTGAGAATGAAAGATAGACGAGGATAAAATGTAAGTGAATCTCTGTGCACGTTGAAGAAACTACGATGGTAGTAGTAGAGATGCTTTCCCGTAGGGCAGACGTCCCTTCAACCTCGATGGAGATTGATGTGGATAGTATTAATCTACCCCTGTCTACTTCGTCCTTACCACAATTCCACGTCTTGCCTTTTCAATCTGGAAAAATGAACGTTGTTGAAACTGATAATATGTTCAACTTTGGACAGCCAGATCATTTTGGAATTTATGATTTTTTTCCTTCGCGAATCTCTTCAGAATTTAGTTATCCTGAAGAAACTTTGATTCGAACAAGGAAAGAAAGAAAATATCATTTTAGCCCGTGGTCTACTATCTTTACTCGGTCATTTGAATTTTCATGAGATTCCGAATGGTTTGGAGATAAGAATAGTGAGAATGCATTTGTGCGAAATACTTCGTGAATTATTTACGTTTATTCCTTTCTTTTTTCCTTTTAATTACGAATAAAAAGTGAATTCCAAAAAACACGATCGATACATTTCTCATAAACCTAATTGATTCTCACCTCGACGAGCTTGACGTTCGTAAGGGCAAGTATAAATGGATATTGATTTTCTTACCAAGAATACGTGCATATGTATTTTACCAACGTACCTACCATCTTCCCTTCGATATTTCGAGATTGAAGAAAAACGAGTCAGTCGTTTTTAAGAATTATCACCTATATAAAAATTCTTCTATGGAATCCATGGAATTCCTCGTATATGAAAAACCTAAAAAAAGAAAGAAAAAAAAAATAAAGAAACTTACGTTAGAGATAGAAGATACAAAAAGAAGAAGGAAAAGAAAATGACATTTTTTGGGTCGATAATTTGAAAAGAAAAGAATATTTCGAATTGAATTGTTAAATTCGTTCGAATCAAAACCGAGAACAGAAAGAGAAAAACCCAAATTCGATATTCCATGGATATATGTGCATACAGGGTTTGCCAAAAGATTTGTCTCATATTTCAGAAACGTATCCAAGGGATTCTATGGTATGGGTCAAACCTTTTGGGACACCCTATGTGCGTGCGTGTATGTGTATGAACTCTAAGGTAAGAATACAATAGGAATATATCGATCGAATCCTCTTCAGAATTCTCGGTGTATGAACGTAACGTGTACCTATTTTCTATGAATATATGTATGTATGTATGTAATATGTACTGTACCAGTGAAAATTTCAATTCGCTATTTCCATTCTAACGAGATTCTGGCGATCGGCGCCCAAGGGGCTTTCAATTTCATGCAAATCGTTGGACATCGTTGCTTGGTAAAAAAGAGAGAGAGAGAGAGAGAGAGAGAAAACCTTTTGTCCACGTTATTAAAATGCTCATATTGGTCCAGGGCTCTACCAACGTTACAATACAAAAACAAATACGTACGAAATGTTCCAATAAAATAGGCTTTTTTATTTGTATTTTTTCCATTTCGCTGTGTTTATTTAACAAATGTTTTTTTGTATCCTATTCAATTTGCTCTCTCTCCCTCTCTTTTTTCTTTTTCTATTTATAGGATAATCTTCATCCCTATTCGTTCTTCTTTTTCTCTTATGATAGGAGAAGCCTTTTTTATTACAAATTTAATAGACGTTCGATATGAAGGAAAAAAAGGCATCGATAAAATGCATAATCCTCGAAAGAACGCTTGTTGAGGGATGCATTTGCAATCTGACGGGGAAATGAAATGGACTTTTTAAAAGCGTATCGATTAATTTTTAATAGGGATTTGGATATATTACGGGAGGTATAGATAATATGACTGCACTCTCGTGTAAAAAGGAAAAAAAGAAAATGTAAATTCCGAGAGTAAGTAGGTCAAAGGTTATTTGATAAATTCTTAACAAGCGTCGAAATACTCGTAACCGTTATCTAGAATAATTATTATTAATTCCCAAGCGTAATTTACATTGGCAAGGAAGGGATTACAAAGCAACCCCTTTGGAAGTTTGCCGTTGGTAGAGCCATGAGAACTATGCGGAAGGGGTATGCATTTGGCACGAATCGCTTTCTCGAGCGTCGCCCTTAATTGCAGTTATACTGAAGCCGCAGGCACTCGTCGAATTCGACCGTTAATACCGATAATGGCCATGCCAACGCTTACCAAACTTATGCGATCTGCCCTTCTTATCCTTTCCCATTTCTTCCCATTTCTTTCCATTTCTTTCCACGCGTTCCTAGATTATTACAAAAGTCAACTATTCTCTTCGAAGTTGCGGAAGGAAGAGAGTAATTCATTTTGAGAAATCACCTTTCAAGACTCTTAACCCTTTAGATACAAACTTTTGGCCCACTCTGTACATTAAAATAACTGATAAGAACTATTTGTGTGTGTGTGTGTATCTAACGTAAAACGCTTAGAAAGTAGATAAAACTTTGTGCCGTGAAAACTCTCCTCGACGAGAAGTTTAACGAACCGCAGTAAATTCGAATTTTCGAGCAAGTAAATTGTTGTTCCACTGGCGTTATTTATATATAACATTTAGCACATTAGGGTGGGATCGTTAATTTAGCAGTAAAGTAGGAGTGCGCGATATAGAAAGAAAAAGAAGGATCCGTATACAATTATGGTTGAGCCTCCTTGACAGAATGACAATGAGGAACGGTCGGTACTCGGCTAAAATTACCACCTAATCGTGAAAAGAGATCTTATTGTGCAACGTGGAAACGATCCTGACGTACCTTTCAAAGCCGATGAAAGCCGACCAAAGCCGATCAAAGCCAATCCCCCAAAGATTTTTTTTCATTTGGTCGCTCGCTCAACGCGAAAAAAAACCTTTTACTCGTCCCATTCGCAATACGATTCTTTTTAACGA